ATTAGAAGTGAGATATAATGAAGATTTCTTTCCAAGGAAAGTTGAAATTTTAAACAAGAAACTAATGGGGTCAACTAAGGTTGAACTACAGGTTGTTGTTAAGCATCTCGACATGATATTGGTCCAAGTTGCCTTATTCGAGATCTGATTATATGTGGAGACATGAAAGGAATTGGAATAAATCTTCCTTGTGATGTTTCAAGAGTTAAATTAGAACAGACTCTACTCTCCTAATTAATCCCTGCTGAGTCAGATGATTGATTGTCTTTTCAAAGATGAAAGCTTTATGGGATTTCTACACAAGTCCAAGCAAAGAAAGTTGGTTTTATCCAAGACAAGATGGGGCATCAAAGTCATAGTTCTGACTACAGCAATAGTTCCACAAATGAAACATTTCTTCTGAGACTTTCATGAAGCAAAGAAGACGCAAAGATACAAGTTGATCATATGGTTCTGCAGAAATGCAAGCTTGATAGCATAAGTTTTTATACTGATATCCAGAGGTAACCCTGACAATAAATGATGAACTAGAGGAAGACCAAGTTCACCACTTTGAAGACAAATAAAGATTGCATCAACATTCATGCATTCATAAAAACATCATTTACACAATAAACAATGCATTACATTGATACATTTGAGTGCATTCAAACATGAAGTTTTACAGATCTTCGGAATAACAAGAAGATTCATGGTAAGAAATACCTTACAAGAAGAAGGTATTCAAAACCGCAAATACAGGAATCATGCAAACATCTGAAGAAGTGATGGATGCAATCCACAAGAATGAAAATTATCTTGAGATTGGGGCATGTTACCCAATCAACATATTATTTCAAAAAATAATGAGAAAACGATTTCCATAGTTTCTCATTCAATCTTTTCTGAAAATGAAATTGTTGAATAGTAAGAAAACGATTTCCATAGTTTCTTACTTAGTAAACTATTTCCCACGTCTGTAAGTCCTACAGTGCATGATGTTTCCAAAAAGCCTTCGGGAGCTTTTTGATGTTTTCAAAGCCTCAGGGTCATCTGTAAGTCCTGCAGTGCATGATGTTTCCAAAAAGCCTTTGGGAGCTTTTTGATGTTTTCAAACCTTCGGGTCATCTGTAAGCCCTTCAGTGCATGATGTTTTCAAAGCCTTCGGGTCATCCGTAAGCCCTTCAGTGCATGATGTTTTCAAAGCCTTCGGGTCATCCGTAAGCCCTGCAGTGCAGGATGTTTTCAAAAAGCCTTCAAGAGCTTTTTGATATTTTCAAAGCCTCAGGGTCGTTTGTAAGTCCTACAGTGCATGATGTTTCCAAAAAGCCTTCGGGAGCTTTTTGATGTTTTCAAAGCCTCAGGGTCGTCTGTAAGTCCTACAGTGCATGATGTTTCCAAAAAGCCTTCGGGAGCTTTTTGATGTTCTCAAAGCCTCAGGGTCGTCTGTAAGTCCTACAGTGCATGATGTTTCCAAAAAGCCTTCGGGAGCTTTTTGATGTTTTCAAAGCCTCAGGGTCATCTGTAAGTCCTGCAGAGCATGATGTTTCCAAAAAGCCTTTGGGAGCTTTTTGATGTTTTTAAAGCCTTAGGGTCATCTGTAAGTCCTACAGTGCATGATGTTTCCAAAAAGCCTTCAGGAGCTTTTTGATGTTTTCAAACCTTAGGTCATCTGTAAGCCCTTCAGTGCATGATGTTTTCAACATTTCCATCCTGCTAAAAAAAAAAAGCCAAATGAAAAAATTATTGTCTTTTTCGTCTTTGCTCTATTCTTGTTAACACAAGGATGAGCAAAGAGGGGCAGCTGTAGACATCAATTTTTTCATTTAAATTTATTATTATTATTAAAATTATTATTATTATTATTAGTATTATTATTATTATAATAATAATATTATTATTATTATTATTATTATTATTATTATATTATTATTATTTAATAAATAATTACAAAACTAGAAGCCCATTTACAAGCCCAAATCCCAGGCCCAACCAGAACCGACCCATACCCAAATGGAAACCCTAAACTGATTTAGGGTTTCAGCTAGAGTTTTCAAACCCTAGCTCACAGCCGCTGCTTCCAGTGATCCCCAGCCGCCGTTGCTTCCAGACGTTCCAACTGCCGCCGCCCTCGCCAGAAGTCTCCAGAAGGCCAGCTGCTCCCCACATGTCACGGCTATGGGGTGAGTCACCACATAGCTTGGTGACTCACCGAACTTCCCCCTCTAGACCGGTCCGAGCATGGCTCGGTGGTGGCTATAAAAGCCACCGGATCTTGCAAAACAAAAAAAAGAGGACGACGACAGAAAAAAAAAGAAAAGAGAAGGGAGACAGAAAAAACAAAAAAAGAGGAAGCAACTAACGAAGAAAAACAGATAACAAAACACAACAACAGCAAACTACCAACGATCTCAGTCAACAACAAATCAAGGGAAGAAGAAAAGGTAGAAGAAACTTACCACAGAGGAGAGTAAACGTCGCCTGAAACCACCAAAACCCGAAGGTATTCTTGTTGATCTGCTCCGATTAGGAGCTTTTTAAAGAAAAGTAAGGTTGGATTCGGTATTGGGGTGTTTAGCGCTCCCTTTTGGTATGAGATTGTATAGTTCCGGCCACCGCTCACGGTGGCCGGCGGCGACGTCTGACGCCAAGGTATGGTGGCCGGCAACGGCCGGAGTTCCCTCTGTTGAGGGAAGCAAGAGAGAAACGAGAGAGAATTTCTTCTCAATGTTTTAGAGAGAAATTGAGAAAGAAAGAAATGAGAAAGCTTGGCCCTTCGGGCCAGGCGTTTAGGGTTTATAAACCCTCCCCCGAACGACGTCGTTTTGGGGGAGGGGTGTGCGTGTAATTTCCATCATGGGTAAACCATTTCTGCAGTCACTATAGTTTGTAATCCTTACGATTTAGTCACTGAAATTAATTTCTGAACATTTTAATTTAGTGTTTAAATTTTATTTTATTATATTTTAGCCATTAACCGTATTAATGATATATTTAGGATAAATGTCATATTTAGTCCTTTAATTTTAATAATTAATATTTTAATCTGAATAATATGTTTTAATTTATTTTAATCTGATATTCGAATTTTATATAATTTTATTTTAGTCAATAAATTAATAAATAAGAAAATAGCATGTTTAATCCCTATAATTTTGATTAATTATGAATTAGGTATTTAATTTTAATTTTACTATAATTTAATCACTAATATTTTTATTTATTTTACTGCTTTTAAATATATAGTTCTAATTGTATTTTTATTGTTTTAATTTTACTTGTTTATATATTTAAATATTTTTATTATTATTATGTATTCATAAATATATATATAATAAATAATAATTTATTTTTTCAATAAAATAATTTTAATATTTATTTTTCAATATCGAAGAAAAGGGCAGTCTTAATACAACTGGATGTCCTATTCTGGTATTTTAAAAATAAATGCTATAAAAAATTATTATTTAATTTTATTTAAATTAATATTTATTAATATCAAAGAAAAGAACTGTCTTAAGGCACCTAGAAGTCCTTTTCTGATATTTTTAAATAAATAAATATTTTTATATAATTTTGAAATAATAGGATTATAAATTAAATATATTCTGAATTTTTAAATTTTTAATGATAGAGACAATTTATAATAAAAAAAGTACCAATTTTGGGCGTTGTAGGGGTGCTAATCCTTCCCTAAACGTAACCGACACGAATCCCTTTTTATTATTAAAAAGAACGAATTTTTGGTTATAAACGCAGATCAGATCATTTTTTAATTGATGTTTTCTTAAAACTCTTTTAAAAAATAATTTTTAGGTATTCGACCTACCTGACCCAAAAGGCCGATGGCGACTCTCAAATTATTTTCAAAATCATTTATTCACATCAATTTTCCCGCCAAATAAATATTTCGTGCCCGGACGAAAACCGGTTACGACAAGCAGAAACACAAGTAATGGACTTTAGCCTTGGCCTCCAAATCGATGGATGCTGGAATACGTAGTAAATTTCAGTTAGTGAGCTTTATTTAAGCCTGATATCATTCACAACGCACAAGCTTTGCATGCATTAAGATTTAAGAATCCACCCCGCAACATTAATCTCAACCTAAAAATTAACCCGAGTAATTACGGTGTTCGAAAATACTCGACCAGTGATACATGACTTGTTGACATGTTAACCCGGTTAAAAATTATTAGATATATTAAAGAAAAGTATTTGAATTCCAAGAATAATGAATACCCGACTCGTTATTTTTCACATATTTTAAGGTCGGATCTGGGTTACAAATTTTCACATAAAGGGGTACCTGATTTTCTTTTTATTTTATTCCAATAAAACACCACAACCTGGCAAGCCCCTATTGGAAAAAAGATGCAGAAGTTGTTGAACCCAATTTTAACAAAATGGAAAGGGGGGGGGGGGACAACAACAACAACAAATGCCCCCAGATAACACATAATAACACTATTATGTCAGGAATATAAACAAGAATTGCTGTGGGTGCAAGTTACTGGGTTCGCAGTCAGTTTGAAAATCAAACGTCAAGTATGCATGAATGTTTGGTCCCATCCTAGTCTCGGTGTGTATTATGTTTAAATTTTGTGATTTAGACCCAGCACTTTTGTCTGTCATAATCTGAATTTGTCTAATAATAATATAAAATAAGAACCGGTATCCGATTATCTGAACTAACGGGTGATCGGATTTTGCGGGCCCGAGTTTTTTCTTTTTTCCACATAAATCGTCCAACACTTTTTTCCGTCGGCTCAAGCTCTCTTGTACATGGAAATCAAAGAATTGGAAACAGCTATGCCATTGATGGCATCCTTTGTTTCCCAGCAAACATGGATTGGTTTAAAAATATAGCATTTATATTCCAAGGCATGATCCATTCCAGAGCTTTTAAAACAGCATGAAGCCACGCCCATCAAGGTGAAATCTCCCTATTCTCTGGCCCTCCTTAGTCCTTTCTCCTCGAGGTTCAAACATGGCCTCTTCACCTATAGGATCACGTCCACCACATCTTCATACTTCTGAAAATAAAAGAAATTTAGAATACTAAATTCAAAGGGAAAACAAGAACAAGAAAATTGTGGAATGAATAAAATTTGAAACATGTCATATTTAATGCTCACAAAAATGTCCGCGTAGGATTGGGCCGGCCTCACCGGTGGCAAATGGACGGCATGGCCACCCAGCCTTAACCATGCACTCCTACTTGCATTGCATATATGACTGCCGACATGTCTCCACCTATATCTAATATCTTTAGGTTGGTCACGGCCCTCTATTCTACGACGATATATTTGCCGCTAAATTATTTCGGCCTTCTCATCAAACCGATTTATTGATATACGCAACCTCTAAATTCATATAATTCAGGACTTTTATTTTCTTTTTCATTTAATGTTGGGCATGGCATTCTTTTTTCAGTGTCGTGACATCTTTGTCATTACTCGGTTAATCTTTCCTTAGAATCCACGATGTTGTGAGCTGACCCACCATGCTTAAACACTTAATGTAATAATATATAATCAACAATTGACACCCATCCTTTTTCCTTCATATCAGTATATTACTCCCTTCCATGATACCCAAAAAGTCATTTCTCTTTCTCTAGAAGAAATCCTCAAATCTTCTCATTATATCCCTACTATTTTATCATATAATGAGCTCGTATATGAGGAGTCAATTGACACCTTAAAATTTCTAAAAATCTTTTATCATATATAAATTAAAAATACAAAATACAATAAATAAATAAAAATATACTATTCTTAAAAAAGGTAACTTACAATACAATCATCAAACTTTTAATTCGTTTTCATTTTGGTCCCTGTTGTTACATGTAACTTTCTGACGTGACAGCAGCAGCTTTTTCCTCCTCCTCCTCCTCCCTCTCCTCCTTCTTCTCACACTCTGTTCGAAATACTAGCTTTGCCTTCAAGTTGAGACCTCAGCAGTCAGCACTACAAACAGGACAGGCCTGCAGCAATACAGCAAAGTACAAAAGGTGACGATATGAAGGAGTCGCGTAAACCGGAATTCCAACACATATAATATTAACAAAATCGTAACACGGGAACAACCTACAAGCGGTTAAACGGAAATATAAATAACCATACCTTGTTTATTTTCAACCAATTATTTATGCACTTGGGATGATATGAATGCTTGCAAGAAAGTGACGTTAAGGAGTCACCATCCTCGTAGTCTACACGGCAGATGACACACCTGAAAACATGGTTACAAGTTCAATCATCTAGACAAATACATTCAGGCATAAAAAAAATAAAACTAAAGCATTCGAGCTTACGAATCGTTGCTTCCGGTTTGACTCTTTCCTGTCTTGTATGTTACCAAAGGCAAGGATGCAATTGAATAAGCTGAAAGCCCCCTGCTCTCTGTCCCAACTACTTCACCGAGTGCGAGGAGTTTCTGAATGATAGAATCGAGCTTAGTATGAGTGCTTGAGCAAAATTTTAAAAACACTCAAACCTAAATGGAAGCTTACCTCATATGAGAGCTCATCAGGATCAACTTCCTCCTATGTGTCCTGCAAATGCATGTCATCGAAAGGCTAACAACTTGAAATAAATAGAAATAATAACACACGGCACTGCTTTAAAGGAAAAGGATAAGAGGGAAGAAAATTCACGCTCTCTCCTGCAAGCAAATGTCAAGCTAATTTGAGCATGCATTAGCTATTTCATGAAAATTCAGTCAATTCACACTAACTTAAATAATTTATAAATCTCAATTCCAAACAAATTAATTTACTTAAATTAATTACTATTTTTAACTAAAAAATAATATTTAATTATAATTCTATTAAAAGTAAAACTAAATTTTACTTAATGGTTAATTTAAAAAAATCCAATATTTTTTAATATTTACATAATAAGGACAAATTTGGTTGTGACGTGTTTCGGTACGTCGCTTTAGTGGTACCTTGCGGTATGCGACGTGTATTGTAACTCTTCCTATCTAATATATATTTTTAAATTTTATAATTTAATTCAACAATTGTTGTTGTTATTATTATTATTTTATCTCCTAATTTAAAAATGATCTGATATGATTCTTTTAAAATAAAAATTTAATATGATGAGATCAGATTAGATGAAATATCCATTCGTATTTGTAATCTTCTTCGTCCGAAAAATATGTTTTAGCTAAAATCATTTTGAAAGCGGAAAATTTACGAAACACAAATTGCAGCAAAATTATCAATCAGAACCAATATTTTTAAAATTTAAATTAAATTATTTGATATGAGATATCAACATATTATTGATCAAATATTTTTTTTTATAAAAAAAATTAATAGGTTAACTTAAAATAATTATGAAAAAACAATTTCAACATTTATTTTAACTAAAATAATAATTTATTTTTTTAATATAAAAATATACAGTTTAGAGACCAGTTTTTTCGTTTAAGTCTACTCTTATATTTCGTGTCTAAAAGAAAAAAAAAACAAAAATAAGGAAAATAATTCACATAAAAACTAAAAAATAATGATAATAATTGAGGTATTGAATTAAAGTTGCCCCTGAAATTGACACCTTTCATTGTTTCTGGTAGGTAAATTAGGATAAACCTTCATTTCAATATTATGCTTAATGTTGAGGCAATCCATTTTAGAATATTATAAACTTCAAATACGATTATAACATAATAAAATATATGGATTAACGTAAAATATATTACTTTTGAGTTTCAACTAATTTTTATGGATTAACTATTAGTATCTTATCTGTTCATAATGTCATGATTACAGATATTGAAAATGATATTTTCATTCTAATTTGTGACGTTTATAATGTCAAGATTTAAACTTTTAAATTTAATCGAAAGATTTAATGATTCATTCTGCGAGATTGACTAATTGTTCGTAATTTTTAGTCTAGTTTTAATATTCTAAAAGGCCTATTTTTTGGGTTGCATGGTCAAAGTTTGCAAGGCAAAAATGACTTTTAAGAGAACCTAAAGATCACAAATTAAAGGTTAATTAAGAAGGAAAAGGTGATGAAACCCCCCAAAAGACAGCACTGATAACATAAAGCCTTAAGACAAGAGAGAAACTGTTAAAAGGTTTTGTCCGAAACTGGAAACATGTCAACAAAATTCTCACATTCTAAAATCAAATTTGATCTTAATCCGAAAGAGAATATATTTTTGCGTTATCAACAAAGCTGTATCAGCAGCCCTCGCAAGCCATGTGAGTGAGCAATCAGTAGGTCCAATGGCCAACTCAGCATCTATATCAGCAAATACCAAGTTGCATTTGTCAGCTTATAAGCCTTTACTTTGAACAATATAACTCATCATCAGATCAATATATATGCGTATACATGTATGTACATGTATACATATAAGAAATCATCCAGCAATTCATGGTTATGAATGCTTAAAGATCATAATTCATATGTAGTGTTTTTCAGTATCCTCAAACTCGAATTCGATTATTCTTCTGCAGGAAAAAATGGCAACTGAAGCTGTGATCATTCAAGAACCCGTTTCCATGGCGGTAAAGTTTTTCTTTATCTTCTATGGTTCAAAGTATATGAATGTTTAGAAATCGCAGGCAGAGTTTTTTTTAGTGTTCTTCAACTCGAATTCGATTACTTCTGCAGGAAAAAATCGCAACCGAAACAAAGATCATTCAAGAACCCATTTCCATGGTGGTATGCTTCTTTCATCTTACATAATTTGCTTAACGTTTATTCTCCATTTATAAATAATTCATAACTTGCAACTGCATAGTCTTTCAGTAATTGTTGATTGATGATCATGCATCAAGTTTGATATTTAAAATCACATTTTTTTCCAAGTTTTCGACGTTCTTGAAAATCTTAAAACTGGATGATCCTTGAGATCTTTCATTATCCATTTTATGTTGATTGATGAAGCATATACTCTCTCTTCTTTAATCAACATAAAAGACTATTTAGATCCGCGCAGTCACTACGAGGTATTATTGTTGCAGAACACGGCTACCGGATAAAGCAAAATTGCAACTGACAATTTGAGAAAATAAAGATAAAGAAGACACAAAAATTTACGTGAAAAATCCCTAAATAATATAGGATAAAAATCATGGGCAACGATAGAAGAATCTCACTATGAGAAAATAGGAATTACAACCTCTCGATCTACCAAGGAGAAAACAATGATAATTCCCTCTTGATAAAAAAAAGGAGAAAACAACACTCAAGAAACTCTCTAAATTCTCTAGTATTGGGATAAAGCTAGAATGATTTGGGATGATTTTGAAGTTAAATGAGCTAGGGTATTTATAGTTGAAGCTTAAGGACTAGTCTTATAAATACCCTAAAGTACAATGACTAAATTGTGTAATTTACCTTTACCAAAATTCAACAAATGCTGCTAATTTTTGGTGCCATTAATTTTGCACCAAAAGCACCCATTTGCACCAAAGTGGCCAGCCACTTTTGCTGACTTTTCAACAATCTCTCACTTGAAGATTTGATTGGAACAATCATATCTTCACACCATTCTTTCTACCTTTTACCATCATGTTGCTTACGTTTCTGACAGGTCACAAGAGGATCGACATCAAGTAAATTTATCAGCGTTGATCGCCTTCATCATGAAATCTGCTATGTTATCTTTGGTATGGATCTTCTGCATATCTACCGTTCATTCTTCCACCTTTTCACGAATGAAATGGTATTGAACTCGTATGTGTTTTTTCCTTGAATGAAATGTTGGATTCCTTGCTAGATGCAAGGCGCTTTGACTGTCACAAAACAGAGAGACATACTCTTGATTGTGTCCAAGCTCCTCCAATAGCATCTTCAACCAAATTGCTTCTTTACTAGCTTGTGTAGCTGCTACATATTTTGTTTTTGTTGTGGATGTAGCCACAACTAACTGCAATTTTGAAACCTAGCTTATAGCTCCACCAGCAACTTTGAACACATATCATGTAGTAGATTTGCTTTTATCTAAATCCACTGCATAGTCAGAATATACATACTCATTGATCAATAAGTTTGATCCTCCGTAACATGATGCAACATTGGAGGCCCCTTTGATGTATCTAAGGATCCTCTTTACTATATTCCAATGCTCTTTGCATGGATTCGTCATGTACCGACTAACTACTCTCACTGCTTGTGCAATGTCTGGTCTTGTGCATATCATAGCGAACATTAAACTTCCCACTACTGATGCATACGGTACTCGAGACATCTTCATCCTCTCTTCTTCACTGCTAGGACTCATACTGGAGGATAATTTGAAGTTAATAGGAAGAGGGGTAGAAATTGGCTTACAATCTTGCATGTTGAATCTTGACAATATATTCTTCAAGTAATTCTTTTGTGAATGCCAAATCTTCTCATTACTTCTGTCTCGGTGAATTTGCATCCCCAGAATCTTGTTTGCTGATCCCAAGTCCTTCATTTCAAATTCCCTAGCCAGTTGTGCCTTCAAGTCTTCAATATGATCTTTGTTGGGTCCTGCAACTAACATGCCATCCACATACAACAGCAATATAACAAAATCGTTATCACCAGACCTCTTGAAATAAGCACAAGGGTCTGCATTAAGTCTGTTGTATCCAAGACACATAATGAATGAATCAAATCTATTATACGAACACCTAGGCGCCTGCTTTAGACCGTACAGAGATTTGTTCAACCTGCAAACCAAGTTATTCTTTTCGTTTTCTTCAAAACCTTAAGGCTGGAGCATATAAATCTCTTCTTCAAGATTTCTATGAAGAAAATCTGTTTTAACATCTAGCTGCTCTAGATGTAAGTTCAATGTAGCACACATTCCAAGACTACTCGAACTGTTGTTAGTCGAACCATAGGAGAAAAGATTTCATTGAAATCAATACCTTCTTTTTGAGCATATCCTTTGACCACCAGTCTTGCACGATACATCTCCACTTGATCGTCATCATTTCGCTTGATTTTGAAAAATCATTTGTTACCAATTGGCTTCCTTCCTTGTGGTAGTGGCACCAGGTCCCATGTATTATTTTTATGAAGGGCTTCAATTTCTGCTTGCATCGCCATCATCCATAGTGAAGCATCTGAGCTGTTTATTGCCTCCTGGTATGTTGATGGCTCACTATCCTCTGTTAAAAGGTAGTATGCAACTTTTCCTTCTATAAAATAATCTGAGTGTCAATTGGGACGTCTTCTCACACGATCTGATTGACGAGTTGTTGGAGCTTTAGATATCTCTGGTTCTGCTTCAGAAAAATCTCATTGTTCAACCTCCTTGTCCACATGTATCTGTGTAGTCTCTGACTTTTCAGCGTTATCATCGCCTTCTTTTCTTTGTAGTTTATCTTCTACGAAGATATCCCTACTAATGATCACTTTGCAGGCAATAGGATCCCACAAGCGATACCCCTTTACTCCATCAGCATATCCCAAGAATTTGCATTTCCTGGATTTTGAATCCAGCTTTAAGATTTCTTGGGAGTTGTACATCACGTACACAAAACTTCCAAATACATGGAGGTTTGAATAATCATCTGGTTTACCAGTCCACATCTTCATTGGTGCCTTCAGCTCTATTGCAGTTGATGGAGCTCGATTCATCAAATAACAGGCGGTATTGACTGCTTCTTCCCAGAATGATTTTTCTAGGCCTGCATTCCTCAACATTGCTCTTGTTCTTTCTAACAAGGCTCTGTTCATCCTCTCTACCACTCCATTTTGTTGAGGAGTGTTCGCTATTGTGAAATGTCTTTTGGTGCCTTCTTTCCTGCAAAAATCATCAAATTCTTCACTTGTGTATTCTCCTCCATTATCTGTTCTGAAACAGTTGATCTTATTTCCAGAATCAAGTTCCACCCGCACTTTGAAATTTTTGAAAGTTGAAAACACGTCTGACTTCTTCTTAATAGGATACACCCAACATCTCCTGGAGTAGTCATCAATAAATGAGACAAAGTATTTTGCTCCGCCTAGGGATGTAACTGGTGCTTGCCATACGTTAGAGTGAACCAATTCTAGAACACTTTTGTCTCTAGAATTTGATGTGTTGAATTTCAATCGGTGTTGCTTACTTATTATGCAATGCTCACACAAAGTATGTGATACATTTGTTAAACCTGGAAGTAGCTTTTGCTCCACAAAGACTTTCATTTATTTTTCTAACATGTGTCCAAGTTTCTGATGTCATAACATTGCAGAATCTGAACTACATGAGGCAACAGAGGCTTATGCTTCTAGCACAGTTTCTCCCTTCAGCATGTACAAGTTTGTTGCTATATTTTTGCCTTTCAGCACCACAAGCGCTCCACAGAACACCTTCATGATTCCTTTCCGTGTTTCAATCTTGCTTGCATTATTATTCAACAATCCGTAGGATAATAAATTTTTCTTCAGGCCTTCCACGTGCCGCACATCTCGAACAACTTTAATTGTTTCATCATACATCTTCAATTTGATGGTTCACACGCCAACGATCTCTAAGGCATGATCATTGTAACTATACACAGATCCTCCTGAGATAGGTTCATAATAATGGAACCATTCTCTTCTCGAGGTCATGTGATATGTTGCTCCCGAATCAATGAGTCATATATATGCATATCTCTTTCTATCTTCCACGGTGGTTGACGCTTCACAGCATAGAGCATCTCCATCATCTGAAGTGTTTGCGGTATTACCTTGTGGATTGGAGTTTTTATTTAAACTCCAACAATCCTTCTTCAAGTGACCCTTCTTTCCACAGTTATAACACTTTAAATTCTTCTTTCTTCTCGACTTTGATCTACAATGTATGTGACTGCTACTTTGGTCACGTTCCGTTGATCTCTCTCTCATCGTTGTCAACACTTCTGCTTGTTGCAGATTTACTTGTCTGTCTTCCTTGTTCTTGCGCCGATTTTCTTCTTGGAGAACAACAGCTGCAACGTCATCGAAGACTAGACTGGTGACATTACTATTTGTCAAGTTGATGATGAGTTGATCATACGAATCAGGTAGACTTTGAAGTAGAAGTTCAGCACGTTCTTGTTCTCTTATTGTACATCTTAAGGATGTAAGCTGAGAAAATAATGTGTTCAGTGTATTTAAGTGCTCTGTCACTGAAGTAGATTCTGGCATACGAAGAGTATACAATTTTCTCTTAAGGAAAATTTTATTGTGCAGCGATGTGGCCTCGTACAGTTTGGTGAGATGATCTCATATCTCCTTAGATGTCTTCTTCTCCTCGATGCTTGACAATACTTCATCTGCTAATGCTAGATGAAAGTTTGCCATAGCATTCCCGTCCATTTCGATCCATTTGTTATCATCTGTGAAATCTACCGACCTTTCACTAATAGCTGCTAGATAACCGTCTTTCCTTAAGATGACTTTCATCTTCAATTTCCACAATGAGAAATTTCTCCCATTGAATTTTTCAATATCAAATTTCGTTGCCATAGCTTCTATTTCGGATATCTCCCACTATTTCACTATCGTAAATAGTTCTCTGGAACCTTTAAAGAATGTGTAATACATTTTTATTTTATTATGTTGGAGGATCCACTTTTTAGTGGCAACCACAACGACAATAAGTAGATATTACACACTCAAATATGGCTCGAATACCAATTGTTGCGGAAGACGGCTATCGGATAAAGCAAAATCGCAACTGACAATTTGAGAAAATAAAAATAAAGATAAAGAAGATACAAAAATTTACGTGAAAAATCCCTAAATAATACAGGGTAAAAATCAAGGGCAACGGTAAAATAATTTCACTATGAGAAAATAAGAATTACAATCTCTCTCGATCTACCAAGGAGAAAACAATGATAATTCTCTCTTGATAAAAAAGAAAATAACTGTCAAGAAACTCTCTAAATTCTCTAGTATTGAGAGAAAACTATAATGATTTGAGATGATTTTGAAGTTAAATGAGTTAGGGTATTTATTTTTGAAGCTTAAGGACTAATCTTATAAATATCCTAAAGTACAATGACTAAATTGTGTAATTTACCCTTTAACAAAATTCAACAAATGTTATTAATTTTCGATGCCATTAATTTTACACCAAAAGCACCCATTTGCAACAAAGTGGCCAGCCAGTTTTGCTGGCTTTTCAACAATTATAATCTCCAAAGGCGTGAACAAGATCTCTCTTTTGTATCAAATTAGTTGGTCACAAGGAGAGCATGGAATAAAAATTTAACACGACACAAATCCGTATTCAACGTATAACTCAAGTCGAGTCTGATAATTTTATTTTACTTTGCAGAACTAGATCAATATAGGTACCTAACACTAACGGTTCATATTAGATTCGTGTTCATATCATGTTTTTGTTTTTTGTTTTTGACATGTTACCCTTTGAAGAAGTTCAAATGGAAAAGGAAAAAAATCCGAGAAATGGATAAGCTTACCAGATTTAATGATGTTACCAAATTTCATTCTTCCGGAGAATAAAAATAACAGGTTTCTACCATACGAGTAAATGAAAATAAATCTTTTTATTATCAACAATTAGAAGAAAATAAACTCTCTTTTTTTTCATGCAGAAAACAGGAGAGGAGAGCAAGCCCTGGAAGCATCGGCGAGTAATAATGGCGTCGAAACGCCAGATTTTGTCGCTGAAGGCTATCAAGGAATCACCGAGGGTGAAGTTTTTTAATGTCACCTGAGATTTCCAAGATTGGCAATGAAACCTGTGGAGTGTGGGATCACATTGAGGTTGTTGGCACTCCATTTAAAGCAGAGAAGATACCAGAGGATGGAAGTAAAGATGGCGGTTCTGAACGAGGAAGATGCTGGAATTGAAAAGGGTGACACAGTTGACGGCGGTGAACAACTTGAGAAACAAGCTTCAATGGATCATAATGACGCGACTGTTGAAAGCTTCAGGATGCTAAAGAAACAGCTACTGAAGCCGGATGCATTGACCGAGGAAGAGACTCAGTCAAAGCAGTGGTTACTTCCGAAGAAGTGGCAGCCATCGTGAAGGGTTTTTTTTTTTTTAAGTAGGAACATACCAAGCTGATACCATGTAGTTTCGGGAGAAATAGAATTCTGATTTTTCACAGGAAAGCAGTTTCTGGAGAAATAGAATTCTGATTTTATTTCTTAACTTGAGTTGCAGAAAAGAAGGTCCTCATTCTTTTAAAAAGACCTTGTACAAGTAGTTTAACCTTATTCAAATTCTATTTAAAATTTAAATTAGAGATAAACTAGGAAATGTATCCTAAACAAACTAGCAAGCTATTTACAAAATAAAACAAAACTTATCTACGGTCTACATAGTTTATTCCACTGCAACTATAAATAGGAAGTTCACAACTGTCCTTTTGATTTCATGAATCTGTTCGAATGATGAAAGAGATTACAGGTTTAGTATACAACATGGTTCACTTACTTAATGACCACATGATGTCAAATTATTAAAAGAAGGACAAAACAAAAACTCTATATATATGTATATGTATACACCGTAATAGAAAAAAAAAAGTTGTAAATAATGTCTAACCTTGTCCAAATGTCCATATCACCATTCAATCGTTTCTCCTCATTTAAGTAGCGTATTTCTTGATCCCTCAAATAATGTATCAATTTCAAACAGAATGTAGCAAAAGCAGGTTTCGAAGAAAAGCCAAAATCCGAAACAGAACCGGTGATTGAAGACCAACGCTAGGAAATAATCCCTGAAAACGCCAAGAGCCAATGAAACTAGCCTCGATGCTCCGAATCAAGAAACTGAAGAACAGATCAAAGAGGAACCGAAAGACAAACAGGAGGATGAAGGCAGTATTAACAGAGAAGGTTGATAAGGAAGTTGAGACAGCTGATGGTAGCGAAGACATTAAAGAAAATTTCACGGAGAAAGTAGCACAAATAAATTCATCCACTATCGAACAGAGATGAAGCAACTAACGCGGTCATAATAGTAGTTCATAATTTATAGTTATATTCAAATTTATGTCAAATGCTCAATTATTTTAACATTGTGGAAGACTACGGTGCAGTCTCAACTGAATTTGTCCAGGAAGCCGAATCCAAAGAGCAGAAAACTCAGAGGTCGAAGAAAATTCAACCAGTGACAAAGAAGGATCACACATTACGAAAGAATTGGATGAAAGGAAACAGGATGATAAGTCTGTAGACCCTGTAAATGTGCAGAGTGAAGATAGAGAAGCACAAGAAGAGGTCGAGATTGTCGACAACTTGAAACTAGGTCATGGCGAGAGTTATAGTGAAGCTATGACAGAAGAAAGAGCGGAGACAACCTTAAACGACACGGAGGTGAACAAGGAGCTTGTAAACACATCATATATCAGCTCAGCCGAGATGAGTCTAGAAAATATCGAGAGTGATGCTAATCAAGAGACTGAAGAAGTGGAGAAGGTGCAGCTAGCAGAAATATCCTCCAACTTGGCACCCGAAATCCCAACTAACAACAATGATGAAGTAGAGGTAATCAAGAGAGATGGTGATAAGGTCTACACAGCTAAAGATCAGACTGCTGAAGCTGATAATGGCCTAACAGCAGAACTGGGAGCTAAAGAAGTTGAAGAAACTGAAGCAGTACCTGAAACATTGTCCGATCACACATCTCAAAGAGTTGAAACTCTTCTCAAAGATGATGACAGTTTAATTAATACTTTTACGGAAGACAAATCGGATAAACTTCAAAGTTCTATCCGCACATTTTTTCCGAGGATGAAGAGATCAGAACTGCACCCCCAATTGAGAAGATAGAAGAGATACAGAATGATGCTGGAACAAAACACAATATCGAAGAAGATTCTTTAGACACAAAGACAACAGAAGAGGTACTGCATCAGGAGGATGAAGCTCTTGCATAAGATAACATTGACAATGCTTCTGCTCCAAATATCCAGTCGGAGAAGCCCGAGGAGAAAATTCAAAATCCTGCTGTCACATTACTGTCCGAGGAGCATAAGCACGAAACAATCAATGAAGTTGACAAAACTGAAGAAATGAAAAATGGAGACTCCCATGGAGATGAGGCTGTAGAAGAGAAAATCACAGAAAATGATGAGACGAGGGAGCCTGAAGAAACGTTGGAAGGTGAAACAAATTCTTGTCAGGTTACACCCGAGGAATCGGAGGAGCACAGAACTGCTACAGAAGAAAAGAAAATAAAAGAAGAAGAATCATTTGAAGATGAAAAAAGCACACAATCAGAGTGCACAAGAGAGCTTCAAGGTGTCTTGGAAGATGGAGCAGTGGCGGTTCATATTCTCCCTGGTGAGACTTCAGCAGTTAACCTACATACTGTACCCTCTACGATGCCTTCTGAGGTCAAAGGAAATGAAACAGAGGAAACAGAACTGAAAGAAGCTGAGAGTCTGGAGAAGATTCGAGAACAAACAAGAGATATCAAGGAAGTCTCAAATTTCAACGAGACATGTGGAAGGGCTTCTGACAATGATCTACTCACTGAAACAGAGGATGCTGCAAACGGAAAGAAAATTGTCATAACAAATTACATCGCAGTGATCGAAGTTTTGAAAGAAGAGGTAAGCAAACCCAGCTCAAACCCTTAATAATTTCATGTATTTCCTTGCAATTAAAAATCTATCATCTTGATAACAATTAAATTAGGGGCCAAACGAACAGGTCATGGAGGACAAGGAAGTTACTGAAACATCTTATTCAACTTCCCATTTGGAAGAGGTGATCGAAGATGGCTCTGGAGAAATTGAGCTAAAGGATAAACTGATTCAAGACAACAAGGTCAGGAAATGAAAACTAAACTTTGTTCATCTTACATGTTCTTACTCTTAATATCTGTATTGAAGCTCTGATTTATAACAGCTCATTGTGGAAGTTCAAAAGACCAGTGAAAATGAGATAATTGAATACCAAATCGAAAATTGTCATGCTTCAATTTCCAGGATTGAAACTATAGCAGTAACAGAAGAGGTTGGACTACTCTGCACCCTACTTTCAAACTTAGTATAACGTTTTTGCAAATGTAAATATAATAGGAACTGCAACAGCCTAGAGGAATTTCAGGAATCTGTACGAAATTACTTCGAATGAAGAAAGTGATTCCAGGTTTTAGCATGGTTAACTAATTGAAGGACCTCATGAAATCATATTACTAAAAATAGGCAGAAGCTAAAACTTTATATGCATATATGTACATATATCTGTACACCATAATGGAAAACAAAGTTGTATATAATGTCTAACCTTGTTCAGATGTTCAAATTGCCATTCAGTTGTTTCTCTTCATTTAAGTAGCAGGATTCTCAAGCCATCGACTAATGTATTAATTTTAAACAGAATGTTGAGCTGGAACCACCAGGTTTTGAAGAAAAGCCCGAATCTGACTTGGAACCTGTGGTTGAAGACCAAAGCAATGAAACACTCCCTGAACACACTAAAAGCAAAGATGACGAAACCACAACTAATGTTCAGAATCAAGAGACTGAAGAACAGATAAAAGAGGAACTGAAAGACAAAGTGGAGGCTGAAGGCAGTATCAATGGAGAACAAAACAAGAATGATGTTACCAAGGCTGTAATCTTGTCTGAAGAGGTAAAGAAAACTTGAAAATATTTTACCTATATAATTATATAAGGAGATTTCTTATGTTAATTGAAAAATATTAATATTAACAGGTTGATGGTAGCGAAGATATTAAAGAACATGTCATTGAGGAAGAAAGTAGCACAAATGAACTTCATCCAGCACCAAAAGGAGATGAAACAACTAATGAGGTTATATTAATGATTCAAAATGGATAATTTTATTCAAATAGATCATTTTATATATCAAATTCTCAAACATTTTAACTATGTATTCACAGGTTGAAAACTGCAGCTCAGTCTCAATTGAACGTATCGAGGCAGCTGAGTCTGAAGAGCGGATACAAGCAGGAAACTCGGAGGATGAAGAAAATTCAACCAACAACAAAGAAGGATCACACATTACGGAAGAACTAGACGAAAGGAGACAGGATGAAGAATCCGGAGATCCTGTAAATGTGCACGGTGAAAATAGAGAAGCAGAAGAAAAAGTTGAGATTGTCGACGACTTGAAACTCAATCATGACAAGAGTCATAGTGAAGCTGTGACAGAAGAAACAGCAGAGACAAGCTTAAACGACACACAGGTGAACAAGGAGCTCGTAAACACATCAAATATCAGCTCAGCCAAGATGAGTCTAAAAAATATTGAGAGTGATGCTAATCAAGAGACTGAAGAAGTGGAGAAGGTGCAGCTAGAAGAAAGATCCTCCGACTTGGCACCCGAAGTCCCAACTAACAACAATAATGAAGAAGAGGTAATCAAGAGAGATCCAGATATGTTTTACATGTCCGAATATCAGATTGAAGAAGCTAATAATGACACAACAGAAAAACTGGAAGGTGATAAAGTTGAAATTGAAGGAGTACCTGAACCGTTGTCTGATAGCGTACCCCCCAGAGTTGAAACTATTCCCAAAGATGATAGTACTTCAACTAATACTTTTCAGGAAGAGTAACCAGAGGAGCAACTTCAAAGGTCTCCCTACACATTGCTTTCCTTTCCAAATGAAGAACAAAACAGTTCCAAAAGAAGAAACTATTGCTAACGAGGTTATTCCAAATGATGAACCAGAGGAGAAAATTCCAACTACATCTTCGACGTTGCCTTCTGCAGAAAGGGAGCATGGAGCTGGAGACATAAGTGAGGAGGTAGAATATGTAAAAACAAAGGAATACGTAACCATAAATCTAGATGTCGTTACGGGAGCTGAAATAACTGGTAAGCAGACTCATGAGACTAATGAACTGGAGGAGATTACGAGCTCTCCATTGGTTTCCCTGGAGAAGGAAGAAGATGTAAGCTCTGTTGAGAAGATAGAAGAGGAGAAATTGAGTGATGCTGAAATTCCAGAGAAGATTTCAGAAAAAAAAATTGATGAAAAGAAGTCAGCAGAGACATTTTTTGAAAATGAAGCAATTAAGGAGCTTAATGATGCTAAGAATAACACTCAGGCTCTCCAAATGGAGGAATCAAATGAACAATTTTTTACTTCAGAATTGCCTGTTGAGAACCTAAAGCATAGAACTGAGGCCAATACTGAAGAAGAGGTGAAGGAAGTGGAAATTCTTGAAAAGGAAGGACCTCAGGAGTCTGAAGCTGTTATCAATCAAGAAACCATTGTTGCTCGGGCAATAACTGAGGAAGCTAGAAAAAAAGGAAAGAAGCAGTAAAGGTTGAAAAAGAGAGTTGTGAAGACTCATTAGCTGGAGAAACAAAAGAGCTAAACGAGTTTCATTTACTTACAAAAGAAGAAACTACGTCTTGTCTAGCTTTCTCAGAAGATCAACTTCATATTTTTTCAGCCTCTGCTATAACTAGTGAAGAATCGGAGCATGAAACGAAGGAGAAAGAAGATGAGCAAACAAGCGAAGGGGAAATCATAAAGTATGAGATAGAAGAATATGCTTCAGATGCAAAGACAACAGTGGAGATATGCTCACAGAAGGGCAGCTCTGTCGAGGTAGAAGCTGTTGCAGAAGATGAAATGACTGCTGATAGTGGAAATCACAAAGCTGAGAAGATAGAAAGCAAGAAAATAAAGGAAGCAGAATTCTTGCGAGATGATAGTGGAGAAGATGCAACCTTGCAAAAGGAACTGCTTCAGGGTGATGAAACTCTTGTGCTAGAAAATAATGCTTCTTCACAGACTATCCCAAAAGAGAAACCTGAGGAGAAAATACGAAATCTGGTTGTCACATTGCCATCAGAGGACCATGAGCAAGAAACCATTAATGAAGTTGACAAAACTGAAGAAGAGAAAAGAATAAGTTATTCATTTAGTTAGTATTTTATTTTTAGAATATTCATTAATTATTAATTTTTGTGATTTAATTATTTATTTTATTTTTTCTATGTAGGACGTTAAATTTTAAAAATTACATTAAAAAATAGAATTTTGTAGTTTTTTTTATTTTCAAAATAAAAGTTGGCTGAAATTTGAATTTAAATAAAACTCAATTTTAGAATAATTTTTTAACATTATATTTTATCTTTGTATTTTAGTTTAAATAGGTTTTAGTATTTTAATTAAGTTTTAAGATATTATTTTATATTTTATATTTGTTTTAGGTATTTTAGTTTAAATAAGTTTTAGTATTAAGATTTAGAATATTATTTTAAATATTATTTTTTAGGTATTTTAGTTTAAATAGTTTTAAGTATTTTAATTAGGATTTAAGATGTTTTAGCTTATTTTTAGGAATTTGAAGGCTATAAATACCTTCTCATGGTAAGCCTAGAGAAATATCTCTCTCATTTAAAAATAAATCTTCTTTTTCTCTCTAGTTTTCTCTCTATTTTTAGCATGCTTTTCAATTATGTTAGGTATGACTTTAGTCATGCTTAGCTAATTTTCTTTCAAGCCGAAGACTAAAGTGAAGGTTCAAATCAAAACGTGAGAATTGTAAGGTACTTAAATCGTTTCGGATTTTCTCTCTGTTTTCTTAGCATACTTTTCAAATCAAAACGATTTCGACATTGGTTCGGATATTGTTATGGTTAACGTTTGAATAAGGATTTGCTTATTGAAGCATATTTAACTTTCCGAGAACACACTTAGCAAAATTGTTTGCTAAGAGGAAACTGAGATCGGAATCGGTTATTGTTGAAATAATACAATCCGAGTTGGCAGCGAAGAATTGTCCTTGTAAGTCGACGTGAATCTTGAAGTAAAATTTTGTTTCGATGATCCGAGGAATTTAAGGCAAAGCTGAAGTCTGAGGCTACTTTCATTATAAGTTTCTTTTTATCTCAATCTCTTAGATTATTTATTTAATTATTTTCTTTTATTTAATTTTTATCTTTTATTTTAAAAATAACTTTTAAAACCCCTTTTTATCTTTACTATTATTATTTTATTATTTCCCTTTTTATTTATTATTATTTATTTTATTATTTTTTCTTTTTAAATTTTAATTATTTATTTTATTATATCTTTTCAACTTCATCTGGAATTTTATACTCCTCTAAATCAAAGAGTTTTACTAAATCACAAAAAATCATAGTCCATGTGGATCGACTCTGTTTCTCTATACTACATTTTCCTTTCTATTTAAGAAGCCAAAATTATTTTGATAGAAAAACGACGGTTATCAAATTGGCGCTGTTGCTGGGGACTAACGGCAAGTACTGATTTATTTTTCTAGTTTTTGATTTATAACCAGAAGGAACCCAGGTGAATTAGTAGATCAAGATCCGGAGACATACTCTAAAGAAGACACATACAACATCCCGATGCCAGAAGAAGAACAAACGATCCGAGAGCTAGCCACAGCTCCTATCACTTAGACACCATTATGCATTAATTTTCCTAGTGGCGGGACTTCGTTTCAATTAAAGACGGGACACATTCATCTTCTTCCCACCTTCCACGGCTTTCTCACTAAAGATCCGAACAAACACTTGTTGGAATTCAACATGGTTTGCACTAGCATGAAACCACAGGGAATTACTGAGGATTAAATTAAATTAAGGGTTTTCCCTTTCTCTTTAGCCGATTTGGCTAAAGATTGGTTATTTTATTTACCTCCAAATTTAGTTAATTCATGGGCTGGCATGAATCGAATTTTTCTTGACAGGTTCTTTCCAGCGGCTAAAGCAAGCGAATTACGAATGAGCATTCTTTCCATTCAATAAAAGACTGAAGAAAGTCTTTATGACTATTGGGAACGATTTAAAAAACTTTGTGCACGTTGTCCACAACACGGATTAAGTGAGCAAATATTACTTCAATACGTTTATGAAGGCCTTTTACCAATGGAGATAAAAATGATGGATGTCGCCAGTGGATGAGCATTAGTCAACATGACCCCGTCAACAACAAGGGAATTGATTTCAACCATGGCAGCCAACTCTCAACAGTTTTCAAGTGAACCCAACCGACGGGTTCACGAGATAAATACATTTTCCCTTGAAAATAAGGTAGATAAATTAACTGAAGTAGTTAATTCACTTGTTACATGAAAATCTAGAGCAATAAGAGCATGTGGGATATGCACAAAGCTATACCATCCGACAGATTGCTGCCCACTAATACAAGAAGGAGGCGATGCAAAAATTAATGCAGTAGGGAACTTTCTAGATCCTCCACAAAGACAATACAACCCATACAGTAATACTTATAATCCAGGATGGCGAGACCACCCAAACTTCAGCTACGCGGCAAATCAAAGACCATCATTGGAGGAACTCATAGGAAAGTTAGCAATTTCACAAGAAAAGTTCATTGCATCCCAGGAAAAATTCCAGAGCCGAACCAAAATACATCTTCAAGAGTTAGATAACCAAGTAAGCCGACTAGCTCAAACTATGGGAAATTGGAATCACAAGGAAGACTACCTTCTCAAATGGAGTTAAATCCGAGAAAGAATGTTAGTTCTATCACACTCCGAAGTGGAAAAGTTATCCCACCCGAAGTTCTAGCAGAAAAAGACGCACATCATAAAAAACAAGATAACATGCCACTTTCAGAAATACAAGGTACATCTAACACCCATCATTCTCTTTCTTCTCATGAAATCACGTCACCACCCTTCCCATCAAGATTGATGAAGCGTGGTAAAAGAGCTGAAGAAAAGGAGATCTTAGAGGTGTTCCAAAAAGTTCAAGTCAACATACATCTTCTTAAAGTAATTTGACAAGTACCAAGGTATGCTCGATTTTTAAAAGAACTTTGCACTACAAAGAGGAAATTAATGGGGCATGAAAAGGTAAATTTGGGAGAACATATCTCTGCAATTTTTTAACGAAAGCTCCTACCAAAGATTAATGATCAAGGTATGTTCACTATACCTTGCAAAATAGGTGATTTTAAAATTAAACGTGCAATGTGTGACTTAGGAGCTTCAATTAATGTTATGTCATTTTCTATATATAAAATGATTACTAACGAGCCTTTGAAGGAAATAGGAATAACCATACAGTTGGCTGATCGATCTATGATCTATCCAGTAGGAGTAATGGAAAACGTCTTAGTAAAGGTTGATCTATTATTTTTCCTGCAGATTTCTATGTCATTAACATGGAACATGACATGTCAGATACTTATTTTGAGGTACTTTTAGGCTGACCCTTCCTAAGCACCGCACATACAAAGATCGATGTTAGAAGTGGTATACTGATAATGGAATTTGACGGTGAGATCGTTGAATTTGATGTTTACAAAGTAATGAAATGCCCTGATCATGTTGAAAGAATTAATTCTGTTGATATTATAGATCATTTAATTGATGAATATATTGAATCTATTTTTTCTCATGATCTTTTTAAGGATCCTAAACTTTGCCACGAAAAGGAAGAAAAGGAGTTTGAAAATATTAATTCAATCAATTCTGATTTATTTTTATTTTCCTCTAAAACTAAAATTTTACCTTCTGTCTTTTTGGGCAATTACCAGAGCATTTGAAATATGTCTTTTTGGGCGAAAATGAAACTTTGCTTGTGATCATCTCAAGTAAATCTGAAGGAGAAGAGGAAGCTTTGATAGCAGTGTTGCACTCTCACAAAGAAGCCATAGGATGGACCATTGCCGATATTAAAGAATTAAGTCCCTCAACTTGCATGCACAAGATCAAAGTCGAAGAATGAGCAAAAGCATCACGAGAAGGACAACGCCGATTAAATCCACCGATAATGGAAGTATTAGAGAAAAAAATTCAGAAACTCCTTGATGCTTACGTAATCTATATGATATCGGATAGTAATTGGGTAAGTCCGATTCATATGGTTCCCAAGAAAACGAGAGTCACAGTGGTCGAAAATCAAGAAGGGAGTTAGTGCCCACAAGAATTCAAAATGGATGGTGAGTTTGTATTGATTACATGAAGTTAGACTCTCTTACTCGAAAAGATCTTTTCCTCTTCCTTTTATAGATCAAATGATTGAAAGATTAGCTGGGAAACTCATTATTGTTGTCTTGATGGTTTTTCAGGTTTTTTTCAAATCCCAGTAACACCAAAGGATCAAGAAAAAAATGACTTTTACTTGTCCATTCGGTACATTTGCATATAGTCGAATGCCCTTTGGTCTTTGTAATGCATCATCCACCTTCTAAAGATACATGTTAAGTATATTTTCCTACTATGTGGAGAAGGGCATCGAAGTCTTTATGGATTACTTCACGATTTATGGTAATTCTTTTAATGAATGTTTTTATAATTTAACTAATGTGATTAAAAGATGCTTAGAATATAACCTTGTTTTAAACTATGAAAAATATCATTTTATGGTTGATAAATGGTTAATTTTAGGTCATATTGTTTCCTCAAAAGGGATTGCGGTTGATAAAGTTAAAACAGATGTTATACGCTCACTTCTTCACCCCACAACTGTGAGGGAAATTCATTTTTTTTCTTGGCCATACAAGATTTTACCACAGGTTTATTAAGGAATTTTCGAATATAACACGACCTTTATGCAATCTACTTCAAAAGGATCAAGACTTTGACTTTAATTAAAAATGCAAGAAGTCTTTCTATTCATTAAAGGAAAAACTTATTTCAGCTCCAATTGTTCAGCCGCCAGATTGGAATCATCCCTTTGAACTTATGTGTGATGCATTGGATACTAGCGTTGGAGCTGTTCTTGGCCAAAAAATAGGGAAAGAGCCACATGTCATAGCCTATGCATCCCGAACTTTGGACTCGGCTCAGAAAAATTATTCGACTACGAAAAAAGAACTTTTTGTTATAATTTTTGCTTTAGAAAAATTTAGATCCTATTTGCTTGGCACTAAAATTACTATTTTTTCTGATCATGCAGCTATAAGGTATTTAATGAGCAAAAAGGAGGCAAACCCGAGGCTTATCTGATGGATCCTGCTTTTACAAGAGTTTAAAATGGAAATTAAAGACAAAAAAGGATGTGAAAATCTGGTAGCAGATCACTTGAGTCGAATTCCCCTTTCCACATCCGACTCATCACTTATAGAAGAATTTCCTGAAGAAAAATTGATGGCGGCGTAAAGCATAACTCCATGGTTTGCGAACATGGTTAATTATTGGCCACAGGAAAGTTACCATTAGATTTGCCGAGAGCTGAAATCAATCGAATTAAGTGAGAATCCCGATACTATATTTGAGATGATCCTTATTTATGGAAGCATTGCCCGGATCAAGTAATTCGATGATGTATTGTCGAAAGTGAGGTAAATTCAATTTTGCAATTTTGTCATTCTTACTCTTGCGGTGATCATTTTGGGCCAAAACGTACAACCCATAAAATTCTTGAATCCGGTTTCTATTGGACTAACATCTTTCGGGATTCTTATCTATTTTGTAAAACTTGTGAAAGATGTCAACGTACATGTAATTTAAGCCGTAAGAATGAAATGCCGCTTAATTCTATACAAGTTTGTGAAATTTTTTGTGTTTGGGGAATCAACTATATGTGTCATTTTACTTCTTCATTTGGAAATACTTATATTATTTTAGTTGTAGATTATGTTTCTAAATGGGTGGAAACTAAGGCTACTCAGAATAATGATGCTAAAACTATAGTTAATTTTTTGAAAAATATTTTTTTCAAGTTTGGCACGCCACAGGCTATAATAAGCGACAGAGGAACATATTTCATAAACCGAGTGATCGAGCTGCTAATGAAGAAATTTGGAGTAACTCAAAGAATTACTACCGCTTACCATCCACAAACAAATAGACAGACAGAAGTATCAAATCGGGAAATTAAAACAATTCTTGAGAAAATTGTTAAACCGGACATAAAGGATTGGAGTTTAAAATTAACCGATGCACTTTGGGCATATCGAATTGCTTATAAAGGTCTCATTGGGATGTCACCATACCGTCTTATTTTCGATAAACCGTGTCATTTACCAGTTGAGTTAGAACATCGTACTTATTGGATCGTTAAACAATGTAACATGGACATGGATGCAATTGGTGAAGCTCGGTAAATTATACATTCAAGAACTTGAGGAAATCCTAAGAAATGCCTATGATAATGCTCGAATATTTAAAGAAAAAACAAAAGAATTTTACGATAGTAGAATTTCTTTTAAAACTTTTTCTGTCAGTCAAAATGTTTTATTATTTAACTCCAAATTTCAACTTTTTGCAGGAAAGCTCAAATCAAAATGGCTCGGATCGTTTACAGTAACTTATGTATTTCCTCACGGTGTCGTTAAAGTTGAAGATAACTTAGGAGTTCGATTTAAAGTTAACGGTCAAAGATTGAAGTCGTATTATGAAAATACTTCGGTTGGTCTAATCGAAGAAATCAATTTAGAGGAACCCACACTTTAAAAAATCATGTCGTCGAGCTAACGACGTTAAACAAAAGCGTTTGATGGGAGGCAACCCATTTCGTTCTATTTTTTATTTTTTTTATTACATTTTATTTTCATTTCATTTTCATTTTACTTTTTTAGTAAACTTTATTTTCATTCTATTTATTTTATTTTATTTTTCTTTGAACAGATCCGAATTCCGATTGAATATTTAACAGTACATAAAAACTGACTTGGTTTGAATTGTGCAGAAAAATCGAACAGAACAGTGCAGAAAAAACTGATTTGGTTCGAACAGTTCAAAAAAATACACAGTAGATTCTAACAATGCAGTGCAAAAAAAAAAACAGATTTGGTTCAAATTGTGCAGAAAAGTTCGAACAGAACAATGCAATATCGGACATTATATTGTACAACAGCTCGTCTCTACCTGGCCGCGATCGCCACTAAATTGGGAAGTATTCCTTTTCCCTCTATTTGTTTTTAAATTCGACATACGTTTTGGGACAAAACGGATTAAGTGAGGGGGAAATGATAAACATATTTCAAATTTTTTCTTGACTTGTTTAATTGTTTGAAATTGAGTTATGTTGATATGTTTGGATCGTTTGTTGCTAGTCTTGAATTTCACTTTATACTCTTGCTTCCTTTTGGATTATGACCATGTTTTATATCGAATTTAATTTGCATGATTGGTGATTGATATAGTTATTAAATTTTTTGTTGAGTATTGATATTTCATGCTTTTGTCAATAGAGATGAACTTGACTCAATGTATATAAACTTTTCTTGTAAGATTTGAGTCTAACGATAATACATTTTCTTTCTAGCTCATTGTTTGACTTGTGTGTGCCGAACTAATTAGGATATTCTATAACTTGTAATCACAATGCATATCGAGACTACATGTTGAACGTAATGTTTTAATGTGATAAGGGCACCTAGGATAAACACACTTTTCCCAAAAAGCCTACCCGTTTATATATCCACTAGTGAACTAAATTTGAACATATTTCCCTTTCTTTGTTTTACACCTCATAATTAAACCCGAAACGTTTCTTTTTATTTTTTCTCTCTTTTCACACCCTTACCGAGACTTAAGATCTTGTATCACTCTTGTTCCACAAATAAAGAAAAAATCAATGTTTCAAAAAAATCGAACAAAAAATAAGTTGTTCACTGTTTCAAACAGCAAAAAAAAGAAAAGAAAAAAAGACCGTTTGTTCGGGAAAAAAAGAAAGGAAAAATCGATCGCTTAAATTGTCTTTCATCTATTATTTTTTCTTGTTTTGTTCTTCATTGTGCTTCATATTAATTCGTGGATTGTTCTTAATTATTTTGATCTCTTGTTTTGGTATTTTAAACTTTTCTTTCGACCTTTCCCCACCCTAACCTAAGCCCCGTTACACATTGTTTAAAGACCCCTGGATTATTGCATTATGTTCATTTTTCGTAGTGGAGACTTGATTGGATTCTAAGGCTATGGTAATATTTTGGTTAGTTTCGGTTTGAGCTATTTCATTTACCCCAAACACTTTGAGAGGATATGTGTGAATCTTTGTGAGATATTAAGTCATGTTTAATTGAAGTTGGCAATTAATTGTGATATCTTGCTTACTTTAAATTTTCTTTGTTGTATGTTTGTTTGATTGTAACTTGAATTCGACAAATATCATAGACTTAGTTCGATTGGAAGTTTGAGGAATAAATTAAAATTGAAGATGACAACTTATGATTTTGACATGTTAATTGATGAATGCTTGAGAACAAGTATTAAATAAGTGAGGGAGAATTTGATAAGTGTTTAATTTAGTTAATATTTTGCTTTTAAATTACTCCTTAATAATTGGTTTTTGTGGCTTAATTGTTCGTTTTCATTCATTTTCTGTGCAGGACGTTAGATTTTGGAAATTGCACAAAAAGAACAGAATTCTGCAGTTTTTTTATTTTCGGAATTAAAGCTGGCTGGAATTCGGATTTGAATTAATCTTAAGTTTAGGATAATATTTTAAACATTATATTTTATCTTTGTATTTTAGTTTAAATATGTTTTAGTATTTTAATTAAGTTTTAGGATATTATTTTTATATTTTATCTTTGTTTTATGTATTTTAGTTTAAATAGGTTTTAGTATTTTAATTAGAATTTAGAATATTATTTTAAATAATATTTTGTATTTTAGTTTAAATAGTTTAAATTAGGATTTAAGATGTTTTAGCTTGTTTTTAGGAATTTGAATGCTATAATACCCTCTCAGGGTAAGCCTAGAGACATATCTCTCTCATATGAGAATAAATCTTCTTTTTCTCTATAGCTTTCTGTCTATTTTTCGCATGCTTTTCAATTATGCTAAGTATGTCTTTGGCCATGGTTAGGTAATTTTCTTTCAAGCCGAATACTAAAGTGAAGGCTCAATTCCAAACGTGAGAATTGTAAGATACTTAAATCGTTTTGGAATTTCTCTCTGTTTTCTGAGCTTACTTTTCAAATCAAAACAATTTCGACATTGGTTCGGATATTGTTATGGTTAATGTTTGAAGAAGGATTTGCTTATTGAATCATATTTAAGTTCTCGAGAACACACTTAGCAAAATTGTTTGCTAAGAGGAAACTGAGATCAAAATCAGTTATTGTTGAAACGACACAATCCGAGTTGGCAGCGAAGAATTGTCCTTGTAAGTCGACGTGAATCTTGAAGTAAAAATATGTTTCGATGATTTGAGGAATTTGAGGCAAAGCTGAAGTCTGAGCTGTTTTCACTATAAGTTTCTCTTTATCTCAATCTCTTGGATTATTTATTTAATTACTTTCTTTATTTAATTTTTATCTTTTATTTTAAAAACAATTTTTAAAAATTCTTTTTATCTTTACTACTATTATTTATTATTTTTATTTTCCATTTTATTTTATTATTATTTATTTTATTATTTAAAATTATAATTATTTATTTTATTTTATTATAGAAGAGCTAAGCACGGAACAAGATCAGACAGAGGAGGCTGTAGCAGTGTTGAAAGAAGATGAGAGTCTCGTGAAGATACGAGAACAAACAGGAGAGATTGAAGAATCCTCAGATATCAACATGGAGATACATGAAAAGGCTCTCAACAGTGAATTACTCCATGAAACAGAAGATGCTGCAATCAAAGAGAACCTAGGCAAAGCAATTGCTGGATCAGGTGGTGAAGCAAATCAGTTTGAGAAAATAAATGAAGGAAATGAAATCATACCGAATGAAGTTTCAAAAGAGAGGTAAGCAATACTACCTCAAACCTTAATAACTGCGTGTATTTTGTATTCATTCTCCTTTGTATTGTCTTAACTGTTAACCGAGTTGGTAAAATCAACAGGTTGCATCTCATTCAACTTACCAATTGGAAGAGCCAACCAAAGAAGGAGAAGATGCACTTAAGGATAAACTTATTGAAGAAAAAACGTATGAAGAGGTCAGGAAACAGAAACTAAACTTTGTTCATTGTATTTATCCTTGTTTTTCTATATCTATATTGGAGCTCTGATCAATAACAGCTAAATGTGGAAGCTCAAAAGACAAGTGAGAACGAGATAACTGAAAAGCAGATCGAAGATGGAGCTGTTAAGAATCCAGGCCAAGAATCGGTTGTCAGGGCTGAAACCACAACAGTAACAGAAGATCACATTGAGAACAAGGGGATAACAAGTTCAGTTGTCGAGGAACATGTTCTGATAGATTTACATGAAAGAGTTGTGGAATGCTCACAAAAAGCTGAAGTCAGAGACGTCAAAGAGATTTATCCGGAAGTAGTTGAACATGGTGTAGGAAAAACAGTAAATAAACCGGTGGAAGATTCAACTACGGTATCCTCATGTGATGATGTTGAAAGCTTCAAGGAGACGGCAGACGAGATAATGAGCAAAGTGGAAATCGTAAAAGACAAGACTGTAGAAGATGCATCAGATACAAGGACAACAGTAGAGATATGCTCACAAATAGAGACCTCTGTTAAACTAGAAGCTGCCACAGAAGATGAAAAGACTTCGGGTCAGACTCTCACCGCAAAGAAATCAGAAGGGCAAATGCAGAATCCAACCTCTGCACCGCATTCAAAGGAAGAGCAATGTGTAAGAGCAAGTATAGCTGAGGAGATCGAAAGTGAGAAAATGGAGCAAGTAAAATTTTTACAAGATGATAATGAAGATGTGACCTTGCAAAAGAAACAGCTACAGGGAGATGAAGCTCTTGCAGTAGAAAATAACGCTTCTTTACAGACTATCCCAACAGAGAAATCCGAGGAACAAATTCCAAATCCCGTAGTCACATTGTCATCAGAGAAGCGTAAAAACGAAACCGTCAATGAAGTTGACAAACCTGAAGAAGAGCATATGAAGAAAGAAGAAATGAAAAGCAGAGACTTCGATGGAGAAAAGACAGTAGAAGAGTTAAGCACAGAAAAGGATGAGACAAAGGGGGCTGCAGCCATGTCAGAAGGTGAAATTAGTCGCCTTCGTATTACAACCTCTGCATTGCCTTCTGATGTCCAAGGGGATGAAACAAATAAAACAGAATCGAATGAAAATGAGAGTCCAAAGAAAATTCCAGAACAAACAGGAAGACCGAGGAAGCCTCGAATTTCAACGCAGAGATACATGAAAGACTTCTGACAATGAAACAGATGATGCTGCAATCAAAGAGAATATTGTCAAAGCAATTGATGCATCAAGAGGAGAGGAAAATCTGCAAGAGAAAACAAATGAAGGAAATGAGATCATGCTGAATGAAGTTTCAAAAGGAGAGGTAATCAATACTAGCTCGAAAACGTAAAAATTGCAGGCATCTCCCATTCATTCTGTTGTTTTTTTATCGACTTTGACAACTGCTAACTAATTGGGAAAAATTGACAGATCGTATCTTATTCGGCTTCCCATTCAGAAGAGCTAACAAAATATGCCTCCCAAGAATGCAGTTAAGGATGAACGAATTGAAGACAAGACAAATGAAGAGGTCAAAACCGCAACTAACTTGTTCATCTTTTTGTTCTTGATTTCCAAATATATTGAAGCTTTGTTTGGAAACAGGTCATTGTGGAAGCTCAAAACAAGTGAAAATGAGATGAATAAAAACCAAAGTATGGTGAACAAGGCCAAGCTTCAGTTGTTACTTTATGAACCCTCCTTTCAAAACTTCTAATATTATATGCAAACGAACCTATGATAGGGAAATAAAACAGTTTGGTCTGATTTCATAAATCTGAACAGATCTTTGTTTCATCTTTAATCAGGAATCAAGCACAGAATTATCGGTGGCGGAAGGCAAGCAAATACTCAAATACATTCAGCAGACCGGGAAACAACAAAGACAGCATCTGATAAGCAGATTCCAAGGAATTAGATCACATTGAGAACACGGGGATAACAACTTTGATTACAAAGGAGCATGTTCCAGTAGATTTGCGGGAAAGTTGCACGGTCCTCGCAAAAGGCTGAAGTCAGAGATGTCAAAGAGATCTACCCCAGGAGGATTGAATGCAGAGGAAAATAGCAGCAAACTGTTCAGGCGAAGAAGTGGCTCAAGACATGATCGGAAGAGATACAAAAAGACGAAACTAATGCTTCCAGTATTCTACAAGCAGGGAAACTGGAGAAAAATCTCCAGCTCCAGTGGAAGAAGAAGACTGAAGAAAGTGGAAACCCGAGATAAAAGTACTTCTGACACAAAGACCGGAGGTGAGATTGGAAAAGGAAGAAAACAAGGAGCCAAAGACTCTTGTGCAATAAACTATAGTTATTTAGGCTCCACAAACAAAGGCTAGTACTGTTTTAAACCTAATAGTATATTTTATGAACTCAACAACGGCTAACTATCGGAGAACATGACAGTTTAAGGAGGACCCAGTTTCTCATTTTGAAGATAGAAGCCACGAAGATTAACATGCTGGAGATAAGACAAATGAAACCTTTAAAATCTCAACATATGAAATCCAAAATAAGGTTAGTTCCAGACATCTGTAATCTTCTTGTTCTTTTCTTGCCTCTATCTTTTAATATTGAATCATAATTTTCAAACAGCCCTCTGCGGAAACTCAAAAGGACGATGCAAACGACAACATCCGGAGAGAGTCCGTTGCTGAAGACAAAACTGTGAAGGATGACATGAATGAAGCCCCAGTATAGAGAAGAGGTAAGAAGACAATCTAGTACGAAAAATGAGATCACATTACGATTAGAAGGCATTGAAACAACTTGAAGCTTAATCTACATTAGATAGCTTAAAAAGAAGTCTTTATCACCTGGTCCCTTGATCTTTTCAACGTCCATTAATGGGTCTAAACATAGTCATTACTAACATACTAATGTAACATTGACGAACAGATTCCAGGGAAGAGACCCCATTGAGTGCAAAAGACAATAAATTCAACTGGCAAGCAACAGTTTCTGACAGAACAGCAGAATGAAGCTTTTGGAACCGCAGACAAAGCTTTAGTTGGAGATTTGGAACCTGGTACTTTTCAAGAGATATGTTCAGAATCAGCAGATTCTGCTAAGCTATCATTGTATGACCTACTCCAAGATCCACAAGAGAAACAATACAAGGGACTAAAAATGTTTATTGAAGAAAGGGAACTAAAGGTAAGCAATGAAGAACCACCTGAGAAGCAAAAGTGATCTCCCATCACACCAGGAATTATTTTTCATTAAATTCAAACTTAATCATCTATTAAATAGGATTTTCTTCTTCTTCAAGTAACCAAGTAACCAGCTTGATCTGGTGGCAAAGTGATCCCATTTCATCCTTTAGACCCGAGTTTGATTTCCCTCCCATACATTTCATCTTTTCATAGTTCCATTAAACAACAACCAATCCAAGAGTGATAGTGTCACTATCTGATTGGTAAGAAATAATTAAATATAATTAAAAATAACAATTTTTTTTTTTAAATTTGACGTGGCACTCAATAACCATGAACTGGACATCCACGTCAATTTTTCCCTTCACGTGTGCATGCTCTGTCAACATCTGACGTTGACCGTCAGTTAACTGACGGTATTATTGGTTGTTTTTGACTCAAAACTAAACGTTTAGTGGTCAAATGTTAAAAAAATATAGATAAGTTTGACAATACTTTCGAACGTTAGGGTTATTTCTATTGCATTATGTCTAATTAAAATTAGGAGTTTTATATATGAAAACTGAAATTTTAGGTTGGATATTAGGTTTTACCGTTCGGCTTCTTTTTTAGGTTTAGTCGAGCCCAATTCAAAAAAAATATTAAGGGATTATATCAGGGATAATAACTTAATTTAAGGTTAAAGTATTAGAGAAAGAGTGCGACTGAAAATGTTATAAATATATAATATTTTTGATTTGATGTGTTCTGAAATGTTAACTTTTTTCAACATTTTTTAGTTGCACATTTTTTTTATAATATTTTTTATTTAACTGAATATGTTAAAAAGTTAACATTTTAAGTTACGTTCAATCAAAAATATTATATTTTTATTTAATTTTTTATTGTGTCTATTTTCTATCATTCTTTAATTTTAAATTAAGTTTTCGTATAATAAAATTTCTCAAATATTAGACTTTCGCAGTAGCTTAAATCTATATTAGAAGAGAATTCATTTTATAAATTTTTCTTATTTTGTGAAATCATAATAATTATCGACAACTTTAATTTAACTCAATTGTACCTCAGTTTGTATTCAAGTTCGACCTTAAATCTAAATTTTATTGAAATCAAAATTCATAAAAAAAATTAACTAAAAAGAGGGTAAATTATCAATACTTGAATAAATTTTTTTTCTTCATTAAAATTTTAAAAGTAATAAATTAGTCACCAACATTATTGATTTATAATAAAATTACTTAATCGTCAATCCCGTTAAATTGATGATGTGACATCGTTAACAAAAATATTAATACTTCCTTTGTCCCATAAAATATGTCCACTATTGATTTTTTTTGTCAATTTTTTTTAAAACTTTTACTAATTATTTAGTTATTATTGATAAATATGTAAAATATATTTTATAAACCCCAATTAAGTAGTTTTTAAATATATATTTTATAAAATTTAATTATTTAAAATATTTAAAATAATCATGGTGAAAGTTTAAAAAAGTGACTTCAAAATCAATAAGGGATATTTTTTATGAGATGAGAGAATATTAAATTTTACCTTTAAACTACTTTGAAACATGAAATAGATATTTGAACAAAGATTTTATATTTAATTTACCTAAACTTTCTAATTTTCATTTTTTTCACAGACCCCACCATCTCTGAAATAATCGTTTGATAGGTTGAAGAAGATGACATGGGATTCACGGAGGAAAAATGAGAGAGATAGTGAAGATGAGGAGCAAAGAGAGAGATAATAAGGGTTGTGCCTCGTGAGAGATTTGAGAGTACGACTTTCATACACTACTCAAACTCTGCAGGCTAGTTTATAGATACTAGCGACGGAGGTGGTGTCGATTTGAAAGATGCAAAGGAATGTCATCGCGACACAGAATCTACGAGTCAGACGTCAAGGCTGCTTTTGTTTCGGTTAGGGGCAAAGAGGTTCTGCCAACAGTGTTGCAGGTACATTAATGTCCAATTTAAGTCCTTTCTGTTATGTTTTAGAAAGAGTTTTGGCACATGTTGCGCCTTTTCACGTTTCTCATATTAGTTATGTTTGCCATTGGTGGATTTTTGGAGTGTAAACGCAGGTTTCATGAAATTTCACAGTTCGACGTACCGAAAGCTCCATCAAATTTACAACCAGATCAGATCGCTTCCCCTTCAATGAAAAATATAATTATGTTATCACCAGAGAATGGGGTCAAAACGACTTGAACCAGATTCAGAATTGTTTCGAGCCAAAGCTCGACTTCCCAGTACAAAAAGCACTCTTACTCTATGTTTGAATTAGGGATATTGAAATGAAACAATTAAAAGGAAAACAAGTTCCCTATAGCGAATTTTTTAACATTTTTTTCATCACGATAGGCTCCTTCAACATTTTGGTTCTCTGGCTGCTTCAGAACAAGGAAAAATGGGACCTAGTTTGTTTGTTTTTTTAATCATCTCAAACCATAACTTGCCAAATTACAACAATAGCAGGCAATGTTCAACTTAGAATCACTAATAATTTTAAATAACTTTGTAATCAAGCAATATTACAGATTGAAAAATACTCAAGAAAGTTGAGCTTTTTATGCTTCTTCTCTGATTTCTGAGCTGCTTCAATATTCCTCTTCCGCTCCGCGAGTTTCTCAACATGATCCTTCTTCCTTTGCTTGCCAATCTGATAAAAAAGAAATGCGATCAAGTCAAAACGAAAAAGACATCATATTTTAGGTGTTATACAGCAACTTTAACCTATGTTACCCGGACTCTTATTGTTCTCTTAAAGTACGCATTCAACACAACTTTAACCTATGTTACCCGTTAGATGCCATAACATATCCAACACTAGTCTGATTCAATAACACGAACTTTAACCATCACACCCTCTCATCCTTACCTTATTCTTTTCTCCAAATTAGAGAACTCTAGAAAGTGTTAACTGTTGTTTACTGGGAACTACTATGATGGAATCAATATTAAATAAATCTCTGCTGGCCGACTTTCAAATCAAAAGGTAAACCATAATAAACTAAGATAAGAGTGAATGTCAGGTGCTAGTGAGTTGTGACAAAAAATCTATTATAAAGGCCACTGAAGTTACCTCGATGGCTTTAGCAAGCCCCCTCTTTCTACGTGACATCATGAGTCTCGATGGATCCTCGGCAATTGGTTCTACATCAGGAAGAGTTGTTCCTAGACTCGGTGTTCTGCTTATTATACTTGAGACACCTTGAAGTTCCATTTTCAATCATGATACTGCTTCTCTAGCATCATCTGCAACCAATGAAAAACTTGGTCAGTAGGGGCAAACATGAACTTCATAGGAATTCCCATGTAAACAATACATTTTTTAAATCTCTATTGTGTATCAGGTTCCCGTAACTCCACCTGTCGCTTCTCTCGCAGCTTCCATAGCCTCTGTTCTATTGATAAATCCTTCAGCCAACAATTTTGAGAGCTATTCAAGTCATCATTTCCCGTACCAGGCAAAGGTTTAACATCACTTTTCACAGCAGCCTGTAGTTGTTAATGGTTTGGCATAATCAGGAACATAACCTTCAGCCTCCTCATCGACAAAAGGAAAGATGTGGGGCAGGTCTCTATTTGCGGAAGACAGCAATATCAAACACTGATAACATTTGACATCATCAAGACAATATTCCAACTTCAATTGCAATTAATGATCATAATGATTTAAGGGGTACCGGGCATCCACACTATTAATCATATCAAATGAAGAACCAAATTAGAAATGAAAGCGGGAGTCATTCGTTGAATCATTACAAAAGCAAAGAAGTAAAACACTCGTAATGAAACATATATTCATGAGTTTGTTCCCCAAATTTACCTCCCAACCATATATGGTTCAGTTGGCAAGATGACCGTGCATTTACACAGTCAAAACCCACTGTGGTTGAACATTCTCTTGAAGGTATACATGTCCTTGTGTTGGTCTGTCCACAATCTACAGACAAAAGCAACAAGTAAAAATTGAAATCTCCAAAACCAAAATTCCCAAGTAGCTACAAATGTCACATATAGTCTGTTTATTAGCACACCTGAGATAATGCTACCATCATTTCAGAAAACGGGGCTCCATCTCCTTCCCAAGAAAAAACCTCCAAAAGCAGGAATGACTAAAAGCAAGGACTCTCGGAACCTAAACATGGAGACATTAGGAACTATTCCAACACAAATGACTATTATAAAGAAATGGAAACCACACATTGTACTTCTATTCTCATGTTCATCAAACTGATTAACAAAATGGAAGCAAATCTTGTATTGCTATAAATTTAACAAGGAAGAATTAAACAAACCTCACGACTCAAGAAAATTTCTTGTTTCGAAAAGATTTTGCAGTCCATTAGGAACTATTCCAACACACAAAACTATTATAAAGAAATGGAAACCACACATTGTACTTCTATTCTCATGTTCATCAAACTGATTAACAAAATGGAAGCAAATCTTGTAATTGATATAAAATTTTAACAAGGAAGAATTAAACAAACCTCACGACTCAAGAAAATTTCTTGTTTCGAAAAGATTTTGCAGTCCCTGTAGCTTCATCTTCTTCAATTCCACCGGATGCATCTTGAACAAGGTGCATCAGTGCACCAGGTTCATTGGCAGGCAGTTGATGCTGAAGTTGTGCAAGTCTTAAGTTAGACTCTTCCTGCTCTTGCTCCAATCTAGATGAACCAGCAACTTGAGGTTCTCGAAAGAAGCTCTGTAGTTAGCATCAAAATACCTTGATAATGCATAGAGATCTGCATCAGAAACAGATATACTATCATTGACAGCCAGGAGGAAAATTTTACAAGAATTATTCAGTCACCACTAAAAAATGCATAATTTTGAAAGACGTGCAGGTTTCATACTTTCATTACAAAACATTAAGCAATAAAGCAAACCTGCAGCAGAGCTTCCAACCGAGGATCCAGAATAGGAGGATACTTCACATTTATGGAATGATAAAGTTGAAAATTGACAAAGCCAAGAACTGTCTGCACCCAAA